ATAAAAGCTGTTCGAGGAGAACTGATAACACTTATGTGCTTAGGAAATGCTGGAGATTTTTAATTCCCCAATTAGAGGAGGTTCACGGACTGTACTTAGTGTTGCATCTTCCAGCTGAAGTGGGAGATCTGCATGGAGTGTTAGGAATGGGAGATGTCCCTTGAATCTTCCCTACGTTAACTTGTAGTCTTATATAGTAGAAGAATTCAGGTTTAAAAGGGAACATTAAATCTATTTCAGAAGCTTCACTGATGTCTAAGTGCACCAGTTGTGCTATATCAAGCTTAAATAACTGCACTTGAGTGTTTTTTAGGACTAACTAGAAATGCCAAAAGCGCATGAAAACCGAAGTGTAAAACCACACTTTTCTGTGAGCCAATGTCGTTGGTTTGATTCAAGTTTTTGCATCATTCTCAATCCCCTTTTGATGAAGTCAGATTTGTTTACATGCCTTAAAGATTTTCATGCCTCAGAGGTCAGGCAGTTGACAGCCAGGTCTTACCAGGGACAGAGGGGAAATAGTTTTCCAAGTGAGGAATGAACCATGGGCATCTAATTCTTCCAACTCCAGTGTTTTAATGAATGCTGCCTTAGCTCAGGAAGCATTTCTGCTCACAGAGGACAGGAATCTCTCCCAGGAGCATTGCTAATAGGCTGCTGTTTTCCATTTTGTCCAGAAATCAAAACCTCCTTCACACCTGCAAGTGGCCTCCACACATCAATGCTGAGCCAGCCCTGGATGGATTATGATCCTTCGCAGAGTCTGTGCTCCGTGTCCTGCACTCAACACAGTCACTTCCTTCTGCATGTCTCAATTATATTTTTAATGTGCATTATAACCTTTCAGCAGTGCCAGGCTTCAGTGTTTATGAATTTAACCAACTTCAGTTTATTTAGACTTTTTTTGACACTTTTCATTCACTTTGAGTGAAGTGTTTTGTCAGTGAAATACTCGCTCTAATGTCACCTGTTTGGTTTCAGGTTACAGATGCAAAGCCCACGGAGAAGAAGACCTCACTCTCAAAATCTACATCCTCTACCACTCCTAAAACTCCTTCCAAGAGCACCTCTGCTGCTCCCAAGACAACAGCAGCATCGCCTGTCACAGCAGCTGGTGCTGCCAAAACCACCACGGCTTCTCCTCCAAAGAGGCCAACATGTAAGTGTCCTCTGGTTTTCCCTCAGGAGATCTCTCCTTCCATCTAGCTGCAAGTTCCTGTTTCAAGTGGCACCAACATTTCCTCTCCGCAACTCCCTGACAGGAGGTGCAGGCAGGTGGGGTTCAGGCTCTGCTCCCAGGGAACAGGGGCCAGGACAAGGGGAAGCAGCCTCAAGTTGTGCCAGGGGAGGTTTAGGCTGGATATTGGGCAAATGTATTCATGGAAAAGGTTCTCCAGGCATTAATGAGAAGCCATCACTGCTGTTCACCAGCACTTTGGAGAGGAGTGAACTGGGACTGGCCAACCTGTCAGTCAGGACTTAGCTTGAAGCTCAGTGATGGCTGAAATCTCAACCCTTTAAGTACAGCAGACAAGATACTGTGCCAAGGCACAGAGATCATAGCATGGAATCCCAGAATAGTTTGGGTTGGAAGAGACCTAAAAGATCATCTAGTTCCAACCCTCTGCCATGGGCAGGGACACGTTCCACTAGACCAGGTTGCTCCAAGCCCCTTCCAACCTGGCCTGGAACACTTCCAGGGATGGGGCACCCACAGCTTCTCTGAGCAGCCTGTGCCAGTGCCTCACCACCCTCACAGCCAACAATTCCTTCCCAATATCCCATCTCACCCTGCCCTCTGGCAGTGGGAAGCCATTCCCCCTTGTCCTGTCCCTCCAGGCCCTTGTCCCAAGTCCCTCTTCAGCTCTCTTGGAGCCTCTGTAAGCACTGGAAGGTTCTGTAAGGTCTCCCTGGAGCCTTCTCTTCTCCAGGCTGGACACTCCCAGCTCTCCCAGCCTGTTTCCACGGCAGAGGGGCTCCAGCCCTTGGAGCATCTCCATGGCCTCCCAGGGTTAATACAATTACTGAATGCACTTGATAGAAGAGTAAGGATTCTGTTCCCTCGGTATTCTGCCTTAAGAACAGCACAAACACTAAAAGCAATTAAAAGCTTGGGAAAGCAGATCTCCAGGAGAGGACTTGTAGCACCCAAACTGGTGCCTCCTAAAACCAAAAGGTTTGAGCAGAAGTGAAGGTTTTTTACTAGTTCAGGAAGAATTTGGAGCTGAAATCATATTAGCTTCATCTGAGAACTCTATCCCACTCCTGCTGCTAAAGAAGGAACTTCCCATGAGTTCAACACCGTCAGTGTGAAACATGAGCAGCATTTTAGCCTCATGAAAATAGAGTTTTCACTCATTTTAATGGAGCTCGAGAGATTCAACATCAGATGAAAATGCAGTTAAATGTTCTCAGGGCTTTTCAAATGACTGAACCTCAGTGGCAAAATTTGCCAATAAACATGTAAAATGATACCTATTGCTTGCTTCTGTGAGTCCCAAAGCATGGATTCATAACCCAACATTCCCAAAGGAATACTAGTGTTTTAACTACGTTGAGATATATTAGGCGTGATGTTCATCCCATACTTTGTGCTCCAGGGGAAAATATAATTAATCAAGCATAGAGGAAGTGTTGCACTTTCCAACAGCCATGTATCCTAGCTGATCCGTGGACATCCTTGTAGAATTCATTTTGTGTGGTCTGTGAGGCAAGCTGTAGCCTGGAATGTGGAATCTGTTCTAATGAGTTTGGATAATTCCTCCTTCCAAAACTGAGACACAAACAAAGGAGCATTTGCTGATGACATTTCAAAAGAGATGGAGTCAACGATGCAGAGCTGCAGGAAGGTTGTTCCAAGAGGCAGGATGTACAGAGGAAGAGGCTTCGGCACCGGCGAGGGTGGTGGGACGTTGCCAAAGCGCAGTGAGGACTGGGTGGGCAAGGGAGACATGAGGTCAGCTGGAGGAACTCCATCAGGAGTCAAAGCTGTTTTGTCGGGATCTGGAAATGCATGGAGGAGTCATGCATGGTGGAAGGTGGATGAGGTGAAAGCAGTAGTGTGACAGAGGATGGAGAGTGTCATGGGGCCTGAAGAGAACTGTAACGAGCCAAACGCTGACAATTCAGTTTAGGTAGAGCAAGTCCAACTGCAGATGGATGCAGAGGTGTGGGTGGGGGAGACCTGGAGTTCTTCTGTTCACAGTTCTAATCAACTCCTTTAAAGGCTGTTGGAGCCAGGTGGGGGTCAGGCTCTGCTCCCAGGGAACAGGGGACAGGACAAGAGGAAACACCTCAAGCTATGCCATGAGCAGGGACACCTTCCACTAGCCCAGGTTGCTCCAAGCTCCATCCAACCTTTCCTTGGACACCTCCAGGCCTAGAGATGTACAGAGAACCCTTTACACCACAACCCTGAAGAGAGGAATTGGATTTAGATTGAGGAAATGGCCTCAGGTTGTACCAGGAAAGGTTCAGATTGGACACTGGGGAAATTCCTTCCTGGAAAGGGCTGTTCAGCCCTGGCACAGACTGCCCCAGGCAGGGGTGAATTCCCCATCCCTGGAGGGATTTAGCATCCATGTGGATGTGACACCTGGGGACATGGTTAGTGATGGCCTTGACAGTGCTGAGGGAATGGTTGGACTTGATGCTCTCAGAGGCTTTTCCAACCTTAATGCTTCTATGAATTCAGTTTCTCATGACATAGCACTGAGCCAGAGAATAAGTTTGTGGCCACATATGATGTTTCTGGCTGCAGATGTTCTTTCAGAAGGGCATCTGCTCTTACTTTTCATGTGTCAGAAGACAGGCACTCACTGCCTTGTGCTCTGCTCATGTTTTAGGCATTCTGGTCATTTAAAAATGTGTGTGCTGGTTTGGACATTATGTAGTGTCACTTTTTCAGATCTTAAATGTCAGTCACTTTCTGTACTAAAGGAGAGCCATGGGTTATGTGGGGCTTGATATTTGGGTTTTTAATGTGTTTATTTTTTTAGATTTTTTTCCCCTTCCCTGTGGAAATGACTTCTATGTTTGTACAAGACCACACTGCCCTTCAGGTCAGGCAGAGTCTTTGGCTGTCCTTATAGACCATTTTCCCAGGGGCTTTATCATACTCCAGGTTTTCACCACCTCATGCTAGCACAGCCAGAAGTGTTCCAGCATTTGGTTCACCACTGACACAGGCAGAAATAACATCTCTAAGTTAAAGTAACATATTAGTCCTTTGCCTTTTATGTAAAGCTAAGACTGCTGTGTCCATAGTTTCCCCAGTCACAGTCTTGGTCTGGAGGAATGAAATTAACTTGGTTTGACAGGCCTTTTTTGGAAGTGTTTGCTATTAATTATATATCTGTCCTTTAGGCCTTATTAAATTACCCAAATGGGTTTCATGTTGTTAGCTGGAATCTTATCTGGGGTGTTTAATTGAGTGCTTTTAGCACAGGCAGCATGGAATGATCCAACCTAACTTGGCCTGTAGTTATCTGCCTCTTT